CCCCGCGCGCCCCCCCCGGCGCAGCCCCTGCCGCTGGCCCGCGTCGTCCGGTCAACCTCGACTCGGCGTTAGCCGCCCTGCGCAAGGAGATGGTGAGTTGGTGGCCACTGGGACCACTGGGCTGAGGGTTAAAAAAAAAAAGAGCGAGATCTTGGCGGGGCGGGCTGGATCTCAAAGGACCGCAGAATCCGGTTGGGTCATGGGCTTAACAATAATAATAGTTACCGTTTATGGCTGTAGTTGCCATTTATTAAATGTTTTACTTATGCTACCTCATTTCAACCTGTTAAAATGCTTGTTATTCCCATTTTACAGATAAGGGCCAGTGACTTGTCTAAAGTTTCACAGCTTGCAGGTGGCATCAGATGCCCACAGAAACTTTCATTTAGGAAGCTGCAGGAAGATTGACTGGGGCTAGGGACCCTGAATTCCAGGGGGGCGGGGCGTGGGGTGGCCTGGACCCCAACTCCAGCCCACCCTCAGTTGTCTGCAGGTCGGGCTGCGGCAGCTGGACATGTCCTTGCTGTGCCAGCTGTGGGGCCTGTATGAGTCAATCCAGGACTACAAGCACCTGTGCCAAGACTTGAGCTTATGCCAGGACCTGTCGTCCTCCCTGCACTCGGACAGCTCCTACCCACCTGATGCCGGCCTGTCTGATGATGATGAGCCTCCTGATGCCAGCTTGCCCCCTGACCCACCGCCCCTCACTGTGCCCCAGACGCACAACGCCCGTGACCAGTGGCTGCAGGATGCCTTCCACATCAGTCTCTGAAGAGCCAGGGGCAGGTGGGCATGCACTCAGACAACAGGTTCAGAAACTGGCCCTCAGCAAGTCCTGACTACAGTGCCTGCTCTCCCCCTATACCACCTCACCTCACCTCGCAGGAGAGCAGTTAGCTCTCAGAGGCTAAACCGCCAACCCCTTTCTGTCTTGGGTTAGATGGCACTGGGGCAGGCACCTAGGTTACAGCCTCTGCCCATTGCTCTGGGCCTCTTCTTCCACACCTGTGCACCCCCAGCTTGGCCAAGCCTCACTCTGGCAGTGGGGCCGGAAGGATCTCATACCCCCTTGGCATCTCTGGCACTGGGATGAGTGCCCGGCTCCCATTTCCTTTTCACCTTTTGCTGCTATTGGCAGCTGCTGGCTCAGGGGCCCCCTGCCTCTAGTCCCTGGGTTTCACCGCCCTGGACAAGAGTTCCAGGATCCCGCACCCACCCATGGCCAGGAAGGCCAGAGCCCCATGCTGGATATTTAAGTTTAGGGGCCAGCCTCTCGGCGCGTAGATTAAAATAAATGTTCTCTCGGCTGTTGTGTTTCTGACAAGTGCGGTCCCACAATCCGCGGTCCTTCGCTCCGCCGGTAGGTGGCGCCCGAGACCCCGCGTGAAAAGGCTTAGCAGTGGCGGGTGCGAACCCGCCCTCCGCCGGGCGGGGCTGAGCGTTCCAGGCTGGCCTGAGTTGGCTGTACAGCTGGGTAACTGCGGTCGAGTCCTTTCCTCTCTTCGGCCGGGAGCCTCCGAGCCCAATCCCTCCTCCCCACTCGCTTTGGGCTTTCCTGGCTGCCCGGGAAGGAAGAAGGGGCCGCCCGTCTTGAGAGAAACTTTCCACTTGGTCCGGGGGCGGAGTTGGAGCAGCACAGGAAATGGGTGGGCCAAGGCTGGCGGACTAAGGGGCCCTTAGGCGGGAGAAGGGAAAGCGCCTCCAGAAAGGGCCTGGGAGTTAGTGCCCTGTGGGTGGGATGAAAGAGCTGTGGAGGCAGAAGGGAGTGAAACCAGGGCACCCCAAACCTCAGAGGCTAGACAACCCCAGGAAGGGCGGTGGGGGCTGGATCCCCGAGCATGGGTGCATGATTACGGCGGTAGTAAATTGATCAGGATCCCAGACACCCCCTTTCCCAACTTAAGTTTCATACAGACCACGCGGTTCCCCCCACAGTACAAGGGACCTTTATGGTTGTATACAGGTGGTTTCCTTTTGCTGAGGAAACCGATAACCACCCCGCGGAGACCGGGGGCCTCGCCCCGTGTCAAGCCCACCGGAAGCCTGCACATAGCTCTCACCATCCCCCCACGACTTCCTGAGACAAAGAGGAGGCCGGCAGAGCCGCACACTTACTTAGACCACAGGCAGCTCATCCCCAGCCATGCTGCTCAAACAGAATCAAGCGCTGGGCTCGGGTTCACGGAAACCTTGCAGAGGGATGTGTTGCTCCAGGGCAGTTCTCTGACCTTGGACCTGACACCTGCAGAGGCTCATTAGGTGTAGGGCAGGTGGGTAGGCCATAGGACTCTAATCTAGGTGTTAACAGAGCAGCTAACGCCCAGAGCAGGCTTCCCACGGAGGAAGTGTAAACTCATGAATGTGCACACACTCCCTGACATGATAACGGATTCTATTTAATGGGACCTGGCAAAGTCAGCCAGGCTCTGCTAAGTGCTTTACAAGGTTTCAGTCTCGATGGCTATAAAAGGCAAAACTATAATTATTCCCACTTAACAGACGTCAAAACTGAGGCTCAGTGTTAGTGCTTTGTGTAAGGTCACACACTTGGTTGAAAATCAGGATATGAACTTCCAGTTGCTTGCGGGAAGTTAGGACTATCTTCCCACTTGATAGCTGAGGAACCACGTCCTGTGGGGCGGGGTATGGGTTACCTCCCTCGTTAAGGTGTGGATGGCAGCGGGAGATGTCACTTAAGAGTTGAGGACAGGCTCTGGCCTAGACCCACGGTGTGAACCAGAACAAATCTCTTGTTCAGGCTGGGGGAGTCGGGGGTGTCTCTTCTGCCCTAGCCTATGGAATGGTACTACGAGTACTCACCTCCTAAGATTGCGAGCAGGAAGGGAGGTGGCCCGGGCAGCGCTGTTTAGGGCGGCACCACGTTGCCGGTTGCCCTCTTCCCAGGCCACGCGCTCCCCACCCGGTCCGCAAGTTCACACTGTCAGCGTGCTCAGCGCTGGCGCTGCGGTCCGGCGTCACTCCCTTCACACACACCTCCTGTCCCCAGCGCCCCAGTCGTGGCGTTAGGCCCCGGAAGCCAAGTTGCCCCGCCCCCCGTGCTCCGCCCCCGGCCCCCGCCCTGCGCTGGGGCCCCGCCCGCCCTCGGACGGGGGTGCGGCTCCAGGAAACGGCGCGCTAGCCGCTGTGCGCTCCAGCCACCCGACGCGCTCCGGACGATCCAGCGGGCTCAGCCAGACCACCCAGTGAACTCCAGCAGCCGCAGTGGGAGGCGACACCCAGTCTGAGCTTTGGAAACTTCCGCACCGACGGGGTGGGCTGCGCGAAGAGGAGCTCCAGAGACCATGGGGACCCGGGCCCGGCCAGCGGTGGAGGACCAGCGGGAGCCCCAGGCCTGAAAAGCGGGCGGCGGGGCGGCTGGGGCCATGACCTCAGTGTGGAAGCGCCTGCAGCGCGTGGGAAAGCGGGCCGCCAAATTCCAGTTTGTGGCCTGTTACCACGAGCTGGTGTTGGAGTGCACCAAGAAATGGTGAGTGGGAGGGGGACCCCATCCAGCTTTTGGAGCCTGAGAGAACACTGCCCCTTAGCCAAGTGACCAAAAGTGCCACCCCACCTGGACTTGGCCCCTGGTGTCCCAGGCACAAATACTCAGAAGTCCCTTATAGGACCCCTAGGGTTGGGGGTCAGGACTTCCAGACCTGAGAACCTATCTGTGCCACTTTCCTTAGCTGTGGTCAGGGCTGGGGAAGGGAGGCTGTGTGTCTGTCACTAGAGATGGCTCAGGGTGGCGTTTGAAAAGGGAGCAAGTTTTGAGGTCTGCAAGTGGCCAAGGCTGGGGCAGAAACCTCCATGGACCCAGTACAGCTGCGAACAGAACAGTTGCCCCTCTCCCCTGCTCTCTTGTGCCAGGAGCACCCCCGTCTCTTTAGCCAGAGTGGGTGATGGGAAGCTGGAAATGCCTCCACCATGTCCTTAAAAGGGGAAACTGAGCACTGGGAGGGATGAGGAGGGAGGCGGGAGCTACTTAAAGGGACCTGAGGGCCCAGGAGGTTGTAGGTCCCAGAGAAGAGAGTCTGAGGCAGCAGAGAGAAGGGGTGATACATGAGAGGGCACAGGCCCTGGCCAGAAAGTTACAGGGCACAGGGGCTTCTCATTCACGTACTCCCACCCGCAGCTGCCGGGGCCCCTGCGTCACACCCTAAATATATGTGCTCTCTGGTGTCGGCTTCCCTTGGCTGGATTAGGGCACAGCTGTGGGGGCCTTACCGCCAGGCGGGCCTAAATTTAGGCTCCCTAGGGGAAGGGCTGGGGCAGGAAGGGACCATGAGGTCCAAGGGGAGGGGAGTGAGCAGGAGGCTGGGGTCCTTCAGGCAGCCATATCTGCTGTGTTCCCACACTGGGCCTACCAGAGGGCTGTTCACTCCATTTAGCAGAGGCGCAGAGGGAACAGGGACTGGCCGGAGTAACACACATAAGGCTGGCACTTGAACTCTGGCCTCTGGCTTCTGCTCCAGCATACTGGGTGAGGCCAGAGGGACGCTGGGCACCGTCCCAGAGAGCAGGCTGAGGATGCAGGCAGTATCAACACAGCTGAGTCACAGGTGGCAGCGGTAGGGCCTCCTAGGCTTTCTAGCCTAGAGCCCAGGCCAGGAAGCTGCCCCTGCCCAGGTCTCAGCTCCTCAGGAGGGTGTGCCGATCCTGAGTCAGGCTGCCCAGTCAGGCCCCGCCCTTCCTAGGCACCCCCTGTCTGCTTCCCCTTTCTGGGAAGGCCCCATGGCTACTACCCTTGCTCAGCCTCATCTGCAGTTGGGGGTTGGGGATGGGATCTTGGCTCTAGGTTGGAGGGCTCTAGGCTCAGCTGCATGACCTTGTCTGACCCCAGCCTCTTTGGGCTTCAGCATCTTCAGGGGTTAACAGGAGAGCCATTCCTCCTGGCTCAGCCTCTGGAGGAGCAGTGAGCTGGGCCAACCCTAGCATCCTGGTATGGGCTTGGCTCTTGTGATACCTTCAGCCCAATAGTCCTCAGCTATCCCCAGCCCTCTGGCCAGCGCTGGAACACTTTAACCTAAAGGGGCCCTCCCCTGACCCGGCCACATGTCAGCGCTGTATCTGGGAGTGGGCCCTGTGCAGCATCTCTCTCCTCTCACTTTGTCTCTGCCTCCCCTCTGGGTCAGCACTGGTATTTGCTTAGACGTCACCTCCTGGAAGTCTTCCCTGATATTCCACATGGAAGTCAGGGCCCCTGGGCTTCACTGTCATCATCTCCCTGCAAAGCTATGGTCCAGGGCTCTTAGTTCAGGAAATGAGGATCCCACTTACCCTCTATGGGATCACTGGGCCCAGCACAGTTTGGGCATGGTAGGCCCTGGGGGAGAGAGGTCATGTAATAACAAGCTGACCCTAGGCCCTCACTTCGACCTGCCCTCCCAACCTCAGACCCGTGCCCTGGCCCCTCCCTCTGCCTGGAGCCCTCTTCCCACTCACTTCTGTTCAGACACCCAACCTCAGGGAGACTGCAGCAGCCCGGTCAGATCACCCTGAAGTTAGTTTGTTCACTGATTTTCCTTCTTGACTGGTGCTTTTCCCTTACCTCAGTTGTCCTCAGCCCCAGCAGGGCCTTGACTCTCCTTTCTCCTGCTTTGTCCCCCAAACTGGGCTGGATTCATTAGGGCACACTATTTATGAGTGCATGGACTCATAAGTGCATGTCTGAGTCTGTGTTTGTGTGTGTATGTGTATCTTTTACTTGGGGTCTTTGTCTCTCCCTGTGTCTGAGTCTGTGTTTGTGTGTGTATGTGTATGTGTGTGTGCACGCATGTGTGCGTGTGTCTTGCTGGAGCCTTGCTGTGTTTCCGTGTATCTGACTCGGTGCCCATCTCCGTCTCTCTCACTGTCTTTCCTCAGTCTCTGCTGGCCCACACTGTCTGGGCCTTTGCCCTTCTGCCCTGGCCCCACCTTGCCCCGGCAGCCCCACCCTGCACCCTGCGGCCCCAGATAAGGGGGCTACCCAGGCCCTCTCCTTTGCGGGGCGGGGATATGGGTAAAAGGAAGACCCTGAGAGTAGGGAAGAGGGAGAGGAGATGGGGATCTGGTGAGCCTCCCTTAGCAGCCTCCTCCCTGCCACCCCTCCCCAGGCAGCCGGATAAGCTGGTAGTGGTGTGGACCCGGCGGAACCGACGCATCTGCTCCAAGGTGGGGGAAAATGGAAAGTGGGGATCCAGGTTGGGGATGGGGGCAGTGGGGGTGCAGGAAAGGCTGGTGGGAACTGATGGGGGAGTTAGGTTTAGTTCAGACCGGAATCCACAGAGGGGTGAGAAAAATGGGGTCAAGGCTGAAGATAAAGGCATGGGGAGAGTGAGGAAGAGTTAAAAATGGGAAGACTCAGACCGCCCCTTATAGGCCCACAGCTGGCAGCCAGGCATCCAGAACCCATACCGGGGCACCGTGGTGTGGATGGTCCCTGAGAATGTGGACATCTCCGTGACTCTCTACAGGGTGAGTCTGAAGCCCTCCAGCAAGACCAGAGCAGTCAACCGCCATGTTCCCTAGAGCGTTGTTCATTGAAATACCAAAGAATAGAGGAGGAGGGGCCAACAGGTGGTATGGTGGTTAAGGGTGCTGGATTCCCACATGGCCAACCATGGTTCAAGTCCCGGACCTGGTGGCTTGCTTTCTCCCTTTCCCTTTCTCTCTGGTCAAATTGAAAAATAACAACAAATGGAATTAAAAAAAAAAAAGTTTAGAAAAAAAGGAAAAAAGAAGAATTGAGGGGGAGACTAAGAATTGCCAGGCTAGAGGTGAGTGATCAGTATGAGTAGCTAGGAAGTCTCCTTGGAGGAGGCAGCACGTACCAGATACACACAGTAGGAGAGGCAGCTGGGATCAGAAGCCAGTCTGCATCCTGGGAAGGGGAACAGGATGTGTCAAGACCCCTGCCAAGCACTCTGGAACCCGGACAGGCCCTCCTCTCTGCATAGCCCATCCCCAGCCCTGTGCTCACCCAGAGCCTGCTTTTCCCAGGACCCCCACGTGGACCAGTATGAAGCCAAAGAGTGGACGTTTATCATTGAGAATGTGAGTGGCTGGGCTGAACTGGGACCTTGGTCTTGGGGACCCTAATGCAGTACTGGTGCTCCTTTACCTGGTCCTTTGCCCTTGCCCACAGGAGTCCAAGGGGCAGCGGAAGGTGCTGGCTACAGCCGAAGTGGACCTGGCCCGCCCTGCGGGACCCACCCCAGGTTCCGCTGCGGCTGCGGCTGAAGCCCAAGTCGGTGAAGGTGGTGCAGGCTGAGCTGAGCCTCACTCTCTCAGGGGTGCTGCTGCGGGAGGGCCGCGCCACGTGAGTGTCCGCCTGCCCTCCTTGGCACTGGCCTGCCACTTCTGACGCAGCCCTCACCTCTGACCTCTGACCCTCAGGGATGATGACATGCAGAGTCTTGCAAGCCTCATGAGCGTGAAGCCTAGCGACGTGGGCAACTTGGACGACTTTGCCGAGAGTGACGAGGAGGAGGCTAATGGCCCAGGTGCCCCTGAGGGCAAGGCTCGAGTCCTCCAGCCAGGTGGGCCCAGAGTTTGCTGTGGGTTGAGATTGCTAAGACCTAGGGATGGGGAAGTTCCCTGGGCCACAGTCACTTGTGCTGGGGCAGGGCCCGCTGTGCACACCCAGCAGTGGGAGCTCATGACTGGCCTGCAGTCGCCCCTGCCCTGCAGCCCCAGTCGTCCAGCCTGTGGTGACCATGGTCCTTAGCTCAGTGCTGCAGCCTGGGTTCCCAGTGCCTCCCTCTGTTTCTGGCCCTTTCCTCGTCCTTGGGTGGGTGCCTGCCCAGGCCTGTACCCAACCAGAGCCAGCTGGGTCAGAAGCCCAGGCTGCAGTCCAGTCTCGGCATCCCTCACCACCCGCCCTCGTGAGTTGGCCATGGGCTTCCTAATTCTCCCCTTCTGCTCGTTAAGGCTTTTTCTCTGCTGTTGTGGTTCTCTCTCTCCCCCTCTCTCTGCATCTGTGGGCCTGTCTCCTCTCGCAGGCTGGGGCGGTGCCCTGAGGCTGGGGCGTTTCCCAGGTAGGCCCTTCACTCCTGTTGGGGGGGGAGGTCAGACCTGCAGGGTCCTGTCCTAGGCTGACTGTGCCCCTCCACCCTTCTCCAGATCCCTCTCGAGAGCTGAAGACACTTTGTGAGGAGGAGGAAGAGGGCCGAGTACAGCCCCGGCAGGCAGGTGAGGCCCGGGCTGGGGCTGGGGTGGGGACTGGACCCTAGATCACAGGCCCAGCCCTCAGCACCTTCCCTCTTTTCCTCCTCAGCTGCCAGCCCATCCAGTGCTGAGGATACCAGCCCAGGCCCTGTGAGTGCCCCTGTGCCCCCGGCCAGGGCCTCCCGGGGCCAGGGGTCAGAACCCGCTACTGTAGCAGGGGGCCAGGTGGGGCCTGAGGCCTCTAGGCCCCCAGGGCCCCCACAGGAGATGAGGTGAGCTTTGGAACGAGCCCTGACCCGCCCCTACCCACTGTTAGAAGCTGTATTCCCCACTGTCCTGCCTCTCCAGTGCCCCAACAATCTGAAGGGTGGGGGGAGGCCGAGAATAGGGGCCACATGGGCCCCCTCAACATGCCCTCCTGCTCTCTCCTCAGGTCCTCGAGGCAACCAGACCAGGACACGGCCCCTACCCCAGCCCCTCGGCTCCAAAAAATCTCTGACACCCCTCGACCCCCTGTCACACAAGGGGAGGATGAGGTCTCGGAAGCCTCAGGGACTCCCTCAGCAGAAGTGGGTTCTGCCAGGGAGACCCAGGCTCAGAAGAGCCCTCAGGAAGGGACAGAGGTTCAGGGAACCAAGCTGGGCCCAGGCATTGAGGGTGGAGGCTCCAGAGACTCTTTGGGGGGGCAGAAACCCGAGGATGAAGATAGGGGCACAGGGGACAGGCCAGAGGCTAGTGGGGTGGACACTTGGCGTGGGCCAGGAGTCAGAGAACTGAACACTAAAAGGTCAGGGGTCACAGTTGGGGAGGCTGAAGTAAGTTCAGGAGTCAATCAAGGAGATGCTGAGCAGAGGTCAAAGGTGAGGCATGTGGACACTAAGGGACCAGAGGCTACAGTGGTGATATCTCAGGAGAAATTTAGGGGGACTCCTGAGGCCCCTCCAAGGAGTTCTCAGGGGAGGATCGGGGTTAGGACCAGGGATGAGGCTTCCACAGGCCTCAGCCCATCCCCAGCAGAGCCTGCAGGACACCCCAGATATCCCAGTGACCTCAAGCCTGCTGCAGGCCAGGAGAGAGGGGGTGCAGAGGTGAAAGGTGGAGCCCCTCGTGTTGGGGAGACAGGCCTGGAGCAGGGCCCCTCTGCTGGAGCAACAAGTACTGGGCCCCAGGTGAGCTGGTGCCAGGAGGCCCTATCATCAGATGACCAGGGGGTGATATCTAAGGATCTGGGAGTCTGGGGGGCAAAAGCTGGGGATTCAAGGGTCCTGGGAAAAGAGACTAAGGAGGCAGAGGTGGAGGCAGGATCCCAGGAGATGGACACAGGGGCATCAGGGTTCCTAGAGAGAAAGATCGGGACAGCAGACACTAAGATACTGGGGACACAAGAGATGGAGACAGCAATGTCAGGGGACCTGGAGTCGAAGGCTACTATGAGGGCAGAGCCTGAGGTCCTGGGGGCCCAGGAGGCAGGAGTTCTGGAGGCCCCCAGGACAGAGGCTAGGATATCAGAGGCCGTGGTAACAGAGGCTGGGGGCACAGAAGTTTCAGGAGCAAAGACATCAGAGACCGAGATATTGGGGACCCAGGAGACATATGGGGGCTCAGGGGCCCTGAGAGTAGAAGCCGAGATAGCAGGATCTGGGCTATTGGAGCCCCAGGGGATGGAGATGGGAGGATCCAGGGTTCCAGAGACAGAGGCTGGGTTAGCAGAGGCCGAAATGCTGGAGACCCAGGAGACAGCAGCTGATGATTCAGGAATTCCAGGCCTGGAAGCTGAAGTGGCAGAGTCTGAGATATTGGGAGGCTCCAGGATACCAGAAACAGAGGCTGGGAGGGCAGAGGCTGAGGTATCACAGACCCAGGAGAGAGCATGTGAGGATTCAGGGGCCTCAAGGATAGACATTGAAATAGGAAGGACTCAGGAGACCGAAGTGGGGATTCCAAGGATAGAGACTGGGACAGCGGAAGCTGAGAAGGTGGGAACCCAGGAGTTAACAGCTAAGGATTCAGGGGGCCCAAGGGTTGAAGCTGAGGTAGCAGAGTATGAGATATTGGGGGCCCAGGAGACAGAGGTCAAGGGTTCAGAGGTTCTAATGATAGTGACTGGGGCAACAGAAGCAGAGATATCGGGGACCCAGGATATAGAATTGAGGAGTTCACAGATTTCAGGGGTAGCGTCTGAGATAGCTGGGGCTCAGGAGACAGAGGTAGGGAATTCAGGGGTCTCAGGGCCAGAGACTGAGAGAGCTGGGGCTCAGGAGACAGAGATTGGGAATTCAGGGGTCTCAGGGCCAGACACTGGAATAGTAGAGGCTGAGGTACTGAAGATCCAAGAGTCAGAAACTACAGTTTCAGGTGCTGAGAAGACACAGGCTAAGACTCTGAGGGTCCAGGAGGCAGAGGCTAGAGTCTTGGAGACTCTTGAATATGCGGCTTTAAAGGCCCCAGTCCAGCAAAGAGTGTTAGTATCCCAGGAAGCAGAGCTTTCAGGAGTGCAAGGACCAGAGGCTGAAGCACTGAGGGTCCATGAGGCAGAAGCTGGGGTTTTGGGGGTGTCAGAGGCCAAATCTGGGACTTGGGGGGCCCAGGAAACAGAGATGGAGGTTTTAGGGCCTCCAGAGAGTAAATCTGGTATTTTTGAGGCCCAGGAAGCAGAGGCTGGGGTCTTGGGAACCGAAAAGGGAAAAGAAGCTGAGGGAAGCCTCCCAGAGGCCAGCCTGGTTGAAGTGCAGGTGGCTGGTGGGGCAGGGGCTGGAATACCCAGGCCCATGGGGGCCTCTTCCCCAGAGGAGCCTGAAGAGGACAGGAGGCTGCCGGGCAGCCAGGTAGGGATGGGGGCCGCCGAGGGACCAGTCTGTTGCTTCCCACTAACCTGGGGCTGAGCTAACGGCGGCTCTGCATGGATCCACCTGGTTTACCGGGATGGGGTGGGGTAGGGGGCTCAGCTTCAAGGAGCCCCCTCATCCCCTCCTCTCAGGACACCCTGGCTCTCCCACCCTGTCCGCATGAAGCTGGACACCCCCTAAGCTGATTTGGGGGGCTGACATTGAGGTGTGGCTGCTGGTGACTGCTGATCTTGCCTGGGGCCCACTGACCTCTTAGGTGACCTGGCAGATAATGCCAGAGCTGGAAACCCTTTTGCCTGGCCCTAAGACTCTGGCCCAGTGGCCTCTGATGACCTTTGCAAACTCATAACTGGGGCAGTTTTGTGCCTGAGCTTCTCCCAAGGGGCAGAGGGCATAGGTCCCAGGTACATATTCCCTAAGTCATCCTGTGTCCTCAGGCACCACCTGCTCTGGTCAGCTCCAGCCAATCCCTGCTGGAGTGGTGCCAGGAAGTTACCACTGGCTACCGTGGCGTCCGCATCACCAACTTCACCACATCCTGGCGCAACGGCTTGGCCTTCTGTGCCATCCTACACCGATTCTACCCGGACAAGATGTGAGCTGAGTGGGTGGGAGTGAATGGGGGAGCCTGCAGGGAGGGCAGGGCAGCTCCGGGCCTCTGACGAGTGCTCTCTCTGCAGCGACTATGCCTCCCTTGACCCACTCAACATCAAACAGAACAACAAGCAGGT